GCACAGTGCAGGCTTTGCCACCCGCTTTGGTTAACGTTACAAGTGATGGGCTGAATTTAAATCTGGAGTACATCCACGGGCTCAGCATAGAAAATATTCACCATCTAAAGCAACTTGGCAATAATTTTCACTTCTCCTTAATTTGTGACGCTATTGCCTTGACAATCCTGGCAGCCGTGTGCTACATCATCTGGAAAAAACTTACGACTACAATCAACTTTCCTAGGCTAAACCAAGCAACAGATCAGGATCAGCCAACGACCCACACCAAAGATCCTCTTCAAAAATCGATTCATCTGCGGGACGCAGATGTTTAAAGGGGGGGTAGTTAACAAGGGGGCCAACCTACTTACTAATGCGAATGTGCTGACGCCGCACTTCGCCAAACACGCGCATAGCCAGTGCAGGTAATTGACCTGCAACGTAAGCGATACCAATTGGTTTTATGCAACCAAAATGCAAATCGTGGGAAGCGCAGCGTCAGCAACTAATCAATTAATTCGGGCCGTTTAGATACTTAGCGATAGCTTTAAGTAATATTTTGTATTCATTATTATTTGGAGAGCCGAATGGTAAATATACACTTGTACTGCTAATCTTGCTTTTCATTTCTATCCTTAGGGAAACCTGGGGCCGCGGGGCGGCCCCCAACTTTAATTTTTTCGATTACGCATCCGCGTGTTCGTTAAGTTACATGTATGTATATTCCACAATTTTATACAACTTCCTGTTCAATTGACTTACTTTTTATCCATTATAGTACCACTTTTTTGTAAAAATGTTGTAGACGAAAACTCCAGCGACTCAGAAATAGCAATAGAAAGATGAGCGATTGAAAACCGTTCACAGTCGCTAACTGAGCGACTAATCGACACTCATAATAGCATCGATAATCGATAATCGCTTAATAGTCGTTTATCTACTGTCAGTTGACATTCGCAATAGGGGTGATAGAGTGTGGTTTTCGTACGTCGAGAGAGGACTTTACTCCTGAATTGTCTACTCAGTCCAAAGTAGCACTTGTTGGCAAGAGTGATTCTGCGTTGGATTTCCATGCAGACATTATTATCAGTGTTAATTCTGGTTCCCAAGTAAACGAATTTCTCTACTTTCTCGAAATTATAACTGCCAACAGTGACGTGGGTGCAAGGCGCGAATGTTCTGACTGTTTGTTTGATGATAGAAGATACTTCGTCTTGTCCTCGTTTACCACCAGGCCCATTCGCTTTGCTTCATTGAAAAGGCAGAACAGACTTCGCGGTTTTTGATACCGATGATATCGATGTCNAAGGCGCGAATGTTCTGACTGTTTGTTTGATGATAGAAGATACTTCGTCTTGTCCTCGTTTACCACCAGGCCCATTCGCTTTGCTTCATTGAAAAGGCAGAACAGACTTCGCGGTTTTTGATACCGATGATATCGATGTCGTCGGCATAAACCAGCAATTGCATGCTCTTGTAGTAAAATGTTCCTGAGCGGTTCAGTTCTGCAGCTATTATTATCTTCTCCAACATTAGATTAAAGGAGTCACATGAATGCTCAGTTTTGACGGTGCTGGCGGTATTGCTCAACGTCATTTTACACAGCCGTATCAGTTTGGCGGGAGTGCCAAATTCAGACATAGCGGCGTATAGGCAACTCCGTTTAGTGCTGTCGAAAGCGGATTTAAAGTAGACAAATAAGTGGTGAGCGTCGATTCTTTTCTCGCGGGTCTTTTCCAAGATTTGGCGTATTGTGAATACCTGGTCTATGGTAAATTTTCCAGGCCTAAAGCCACACTGATAAAGCCCAATCAGTTCATTGACTGTGGGCTTCGAAGATAGAATGTTAGAGGCTGTGCACTGCGACCTTAGGTCTGTGGGCTTCAGTCTTTCACATAATATGCTCGATAAGACCTTGTACCTACGCTTAGAAGGCTGATCCCGCGGTAGTTGTCGCGAATGGCGGGGTCGCATTTCTTGTGGATTGGGCAGAGCACACTTAAATTCCAGTCATCGGACATGCGTTCATCCGACAATATTCTGCATAAGAGTTGATGCATGCACCTTGTGAACTCCTTGCCACCGTACTTGAATAGCTCAGCTGGCAGGCTAACAGCTCCAGCAGCTTTGTTGCTTTTCAGCCGCGTTATTATTCGTACCTCGCCTTGGTCAGGCGGAGGAACATCGACTCCGTCATCATCGACTAAGGGCTCGGATTCTTCTCTACAACTTTCCGTGCTGTAGGCGGCATCTTTTTTCCCTGCAGCTTCCTGACACTCCTCATCGTACCAGTTGTTCTTTCGGGCTCGCTGAAATTTGACTACTTCTTCGGCGGCGGTACTTAATGAGCGGGAAATGTGGTTCCACTGCTCGCATATGTCGGTTTGTTGAAGAGTGCTCTCTGAGAGCAGGTGAGAGAGTCGAGTAGCGAATGCATTGGCTGTCTGTTGTGATTGCAGCTTTTCGACGTTAAGCTTTCGTTGTGTTTCATTTAGTGTGAATTTTTGTGTAAGCATACATTTCCACACTTACATTAAAGCAAACATGCAATAACTTAAATGAAGCTGATTCTAATGAGATTTTAAATATTTTCATATTTACAAAAACTTTCATTTCAAACATATTGAGTTGAGATATTTGAGTTGTCAGCTTTCGAAGAAATGCTTATTGGATGTCCCACCCGTCACAGCCAATTTTTTTTTAACCTGCCTTCGAAAATACGGAAAATACGAAAGCTTCCCATCGTTTAAATAAGAGGCATTTCATGTCACCGCGGCCAACTCTTTAAAAAATAAATGCAACTACCTTTTCAGTGAACTTTATTTCGACACTTTTACTGCACAAATTTCCCACCCGTGACGGTGAAAAATACCCATATACTTTTATAGATATATAAATGAATCATACTGATTTAAAGCAAAACCTCATATAGGTATGTATATCATCAAAAGAAAGAAGAATGAACAAAGCAACAATTTTATTCGAGCGCAGTACGAGCACGGCACGGGTTGGCTAACTTACGCGGACCGCCGCTAAAGAGAGTACATTTACTTTTTGTATTGAAATAAGATCGTATGGCTTTATTTCTCATATGTAAAATTTATGCTTATGGCTTTATTTCACCTTCGCCACGGAAATAAAGCCATATGACCTTATTTCTCCATGGGAAGTAAAATAATAATCATAAAAATTATTATATATAGATTTATAGAGCTCTGTAAAGTGACATTTGCATACAAATTTTCGATTTATAAAGCAGTTAAATACTATGTTTATGCGTAAGCGAATTCACGAAATCATTTCATGAATTTTGGTTAAAATTGCCTGCATAAACACAATTTCATGAATTCAATTATACACGAAAACTATGAATGTCGGCATGATTTCATGAAACCTTGAAGTGCAAGCCCGCCAACGCCACGTTTCACAAACAGCGGTTTACTATGTTATGCTTTTTTTAGATTAAGAAGTATGAGTGGTATAACCATGATTTAAAACACTGGAAAACTTATTTGGATTTGTTGAAATATATGCAAAGTAAATTCAAACACATTAAATAAGTTTTAATATAACATGGACCATTTTCTGGTACCAACGGCTTTTGCAAATTAAAAAAAGGCAAAAAAAAACACTACCGTTTAGTTTCTCACTAGTGCGTTGCCACTTTTTTAAAAGAGTTAATTTCATTAATTCGCGAATTTTGCATAAACTGAACCATTTTTGAATTCATTAAATGAAGAATTCATGAATTCTGCCGCATAAACGTAGTAAAAGTCTTCTATATTTTGTATGAATTTGGGTGATAGACTCTTTTTGGCCGGCGAAGCCGCAGGTTCAGGCCAAATTGGTCTAAACTGCCAACTTTTGAAAAGGTAAATAACAAATACAAAGGCCTGATGTTTTGTAAGCGCAAAAGTACTGAAAGTTATACATTATTACACATAGCACGCTTAATACTTAAAAATTTTATATTATGTTTTATTTTTTATTTAGTTAAGGCTAGGCTTAAACATTTCGATATTTTTTAAGAAGCATTGCCCAAACGTCTGGATATCTTGTTTGTAAAAAGTTGGTTAACTTTTGAGCATTTTGGGCTTGTTGAGGAGAGCAATTGCGACAATTCCTTAAAATAACTTCTGGAAGTGCGGCTGTAATGAGAAAAGGAGACAACTTTTAGTGTCAAGCAAAATACTATCTAAAAAACAAAATAAATCTATATTAGATACACATACATTCGCATTCGCGCAAACACATCGTAAGTAATACACAGGGGTGATTGCCTATCGCATCGCATTTCTCTGTCGTATTGCGTTATAGAGTAGCCCCCCTTATTTTACAAAGGCCCTAATAAACACTTTTTTCAAAACTGTGTTTTTCACAGATTTTGGTAGGATGTATTAATATACACGTTCTATACAAAAATTTAAAATGGTAGTACTAGGGATCTGCTATTAATCGAACAAGCCAATTAATAGAAAGCCGATTAATTAATTAATCAAAGAATAATTATTTTTGATTAATCAAAACGATTAATTACATATTGTTTAATCAGAGCCTAATTAATTTGGTTGATCAACTGATTAATCATAACCTCATTAACCAGAAATCTGAGTAATGGCTGTTATATTTTGTATGTATGTACATTAGACTGCATCACTCCCCATACAAAAAAACATCGGAACTGTGTTTCCATTGCAATAATAAAATCTATTCTATTTTAAGACGTCCACCACGTGAGCTGGACCAATTTCAAAACACCTCCAAAATGGAGTTTTTTATGAATAAAATAGTTTCTTATAGACTTTAAAAAAATCCCCTCAAATGATAAATTGATTTAAGCTTAAAAAAAAAAAAAAAATAAAAATTTCAATGGAATCGTAATTATGAGATTTTTGTTGATGTTTTTTAACTTTTTTCAAAGATTGGTATAAGGAAAACTTGAATAACTGAACCTAAACTATTCCGATTTAGACCTTGAGTAATCATTGGAAAGGTATTTTCTCGCCCTTTTTATTTCTTTGCTAATAAACTCCTTCAAAGGATGAAAGAGAAAGGTAGGACGAACGAGCGTCATTATAAGTTTAATTAAAATGTTTTGGTATTTGAAAAAAAAAATTGGAACACGAATGACTTTTTTTTGCACAGAAATAAAAATAGTGGGAAAATATCTTTCTACTGAGATCCCATAAGTCTAAATCAGAATAGTTTTGGGCCGGGTTTGAAAATGCTGTAATTTTTTCATTTAATTTGCTTTTGCTGTGCTTTGACTTCGGCATGTATGATATCGAAAGCAAAGCAACCGCAATTTAGAAAAAAAATACTTTGGCTGTCAGTTAAAAAAACAATTTGTGAAAGCGCAACGACAGCGCCGCGGCAGCAAAGCAACAGCAATTTGACTATCACTTGACTGTGAAACATCAAATTGGCAGAAATATGTATGTATGCATGCACAAATGCACTACCCCTCTGTTTTAATGGTGACAAGAGACGACCATAAGCTAACTATTCGATGTATTGCCAATTGTTAGCCAATTCGCTAGCAATTGGTAATCGCCAATTTCGCACCAGATAATCGCTATCGAAAGGTCATGCCACGCGCCACGCCACGCGCACTGCTCGTTAGGCTCCAATGACATCGCCATGTTTAATTCGTTAGGCAAAGGAACAGATATCGAAAATTTTGTGCGCACTCACTCCTGGGAAGTCAGCGATAGTAACCAGTTCGAATGAAAATAAAAAATTTCAGAGCGAAGCAAAAGCAAAAGTGGTAGTGCTGTTGCTGCTGTGCTGACAGTTTTTTAAACCCTGATTTTGGCCCAGTTATTCAAGTTTTCCGTAAATCATTTTTTGAAAAAAAGTTAAAAAAAACAGCATCAAAAATCTCATTATTACGATTCCATTGAAAAGATTTTTAAATATTTTTATGCACATTTTTTAAGCTTAATCTGTTTCGTCATCTGAGGGTATTTTTTTAAAAAGTTTTTTAAGAAACTATATTTATTCATAAAAAAACTCCATTTTTGGAGGTGGTCCAGCTCACGTAAATCTTAATATTTTTTTCCGAAATATTTTGGCGGACGTCTTCAAATATAACAAATTTTGTAATCCCCGCGGAAAACCCGCAACTGTTTTTGGTGATGCAGTCTAATGTACATATGTATGTATACAAAAATAGAAGAGTTTAAGTATATGCACGTATGTACGTACATACGTATACGTATTTTTCATTTTAAGGAGCTACATACATATTTATATATTTACATCGTTTGTACTACACAGCACGTACTTGTTTGAAATTTTATTTTAATTAATAAGAAAACATACAACGTACATATAAAAAAAATTCATAACTCGAAAGAAATGAACAAAGTTATTCATATTTCAAATATATATATTTTTTTTGGGTAAACAGTAATTACTCAGGATCTGATTAATCCGAATCGGATTAATCAAATTATTTAATTAATCAGGATTATAATTAATTAAAAAATTGATTAACCGATTAATCAAACATCCCTACTTAGTACCAAAATCAGCTGAGTTATAATGGTTTTTGCTTCTCCTGTAAAATAAAAAATGTGTTGGTTAGAGCCTTTGTGAATTAAGGTAACGATATGTATGTAATGCAAATAAAATTTTTATTTTGAACTTTATTTCTTGACGAAACGTACTTTAAATTTATCTCAAATTATGCACACTGCTTAATAACAAACTAAAACTGACAGATACAGACTTGTTCTTTTTCACTTTTTTCTTAAAAATTATAGGCAAATATTGATAAAAACTGTCAAGTTGGGTCAGCAAAATTCCTTAAAAGTTCACTATTTCTTGCTCTAATTACAAAACTTAGATGTCATTAGAAAGGCAATGAATCAATCTACATATCTATGGTTTTTTTTTGAAATAGCTTCGCTTTAAAATATTTTAAATCAATGTATTTTTTAAATTACTTTCCATATTCCTAAATTTATTTAGACCAAACCATCCATGATAAAAACATAGCAAGATAGAACCGTTCTCTCAATTTGTCGGCCATGATTTTTTTTTTAAGTTTGCCAACATTTTAAAATCATATAAAAATGAAAATAAAAAATTGAAATTGTTCGAAATTGTTGTTGGTTGAGATTGAAAATGAAAATGTGTGTGTGAGTTTGTGAGTAAATTTAAAAATTAAATTGTTTGGAAACGTCAAGAACTTTAAAAGTGACTCTCAGCGGTTCTACCTTACTACATTTTTATCATGAATCCCATCTATATACTTATTTGTAAAAGGTATTTTTCTGTTACCAAACGACATCTCCTTTAATATTTTAACAAATTTAATGACCGATATCTCATTTTGAATGGGAGAAGCTCACGTACATGTGAAAAATAGTCACGTTGTTCAAATTTAGTTATTTATAAAAAAAGGGGGTTTTAAAAAGCTGAAAACACTGTATTAGGTCAATAAAGCGCCTTATCTTTCATAATACTTAATAAAATTGAGCGATTGAAACACCATTTTGAAGGACAGCTTCACCGCTTAAGGTAAAAACAAAAAAATTTCAATAGGGTTGCCACCCGCTTAAAATTTTTGGGAGATAAATATATATCGACTAAAATATTACAATGCATTCAGGGTATGAAAGACAACTGAAAGGGTTGCTAACTATTAAAAAATTTATACCTCTCTATATGTATTAAACAAAGTTGCTTACGTAATACCGAGCTTAGCTCTAAGGTAGATTGTCCTATGTGAGCTGTCTTTATGTTGTGTTTACAACATGTTGGATAGGTTAGGTTAGAGTGCGTTGCAAATTATTACCGGTTCCATTTACAGGTGCCGGATTTAAAAAATGTATGATGGAATTTTGTTTAAAAATACAAAATCAGTCTTATCATGAGTTTCATTTCCCTCGAACCGGTTCACTTTTCGGGTCCGTCTATTGACTTTCTTTCGGGCGAAACTGACGACATGGCCGAATGAGAATATCTGGAGTGTACATTTCTTTTGCGAATATGGTTACGAAGATTGGCGATTAGAAGTGCAAATCAAAACCTCAGCAATGCGCCCAAGTTAATGCAGGACGAACTCAGGAGGAACAACCCCCTTAACAACTGAAACAAATTTATTTCGCTGACAACTCTGATATCGAAATCGATCAGTGTTGTGCGACTAACTGTGCGATTAAACGCCAGATCATTGGAAAATTGCAAGTACGTCGTCACAGACACAGCGCTTTGGTTAGGTTATTTAAAATGGCAATGAAAGATATGCTTTCTAACGACCACAAAACCATAATCAGAGCAGATAAATGTCCCACTGGAAGTCATTAAGTGAATAGTTGGTGTTTACGCTAGCCCCTTCATCTTATGTGCGTTTAGAGAATTTCACTTGCAGATGTCGCTGCGATATAAGCGGGAACACTTACTCGTTACTCGAGTCCTGTTACCCGCCTCGGATGTTGGGTTTCACCTTCTGCGATCGCCCAACGCTCTTCCACTTTGGAAGAGAACTCCGAGCAAGCAAGTAAGGCCCTCTAATTATTCATACATTTTATATGACCTTTTGTTACAGCATTTTTTAACATATACATACATATGCAATAAAGTGGCCGTTAGGTACTTACATATATATACATATATACTAGTGAAAAGTGAAGTGTTTCATTTTAATTTGTTGAGCGAATTTTTTGCGGTTTAATTTAACCTCGAAGGACTTCAGGGATTCGGCACCTCCTCGACCCTCGTTTGATGCGGAATTCCCGGCCCTCATTTTCATCCTGTCCCGAACATGGTCTTTCGAGCCGGATAGGCTTGAGTTTTTCGTGGTTGACCCACATTTGCTTTAAAATAAAATAAAACGTCAGCGACGTTGACGGCGAAAAAAGACGCGTTAAAATATTTGACGGCGCAGAAGGACGCGTAAACTTATTTTCGCGGTCAACTATGTTTGCGGTTGTAATAGTATGTACATTCCGTAAAGAGTTTTTGGCGAAGTGACAGTCCTTGGCCAAGTATAAATCTATGATTACGCGTCTTTATTCGCCGAAGTTTTTATTAAGCGCCTTTTTTCGTAAATTTTTTTTAAGTGTCTTTTTTCGCCGTCGTAAAACTAGCGCGCCTTTATTCGTCTCTAAGGACGAAAAATGAAAAAACTTCAAAGAAA